TATATAGATATTAATTTTTAGTTGGTTTCTCTGTCACGAGTATTTTGTTATTCGGGGCATTTTCATATATGGCACGCAATTCTTATGTATTTACAAATTTCACGCTTAAACTTTCATATTTATATACATAGCGCTCTGATCTTTAATATCACATTAAAAATAGTTTTATTATCACTTTTAAAAGTGAGATGCTCCTTTTTATGCATAGGTTTTGTAGTGATTTGGAAAAGAATTTTCTTTCTTGCTTACCTTGCGTGCTACTTTCCAACCCACTAAAGTTGGGTTATATATACTGTACAAACCATGTTTGGACTTAAATTCATCACCATTGGTTGTGCTTTGCTGAGAGTATCAATAGTCTGAAGCCGTGTAGAAGCATGGTTGAGCTGAACAATTCCATTATTAATCTTTTCTAAGATGGAAGTGTTAGTCAATCTCTGTGTTTTGTTCTATCATGAAGCGCATGATTTTTTGCTATAATAATGGTTGTTTGGCTATCACTGAATGACGCCGTGCTAAGGAGCATGATGTATTTACATGCTACATTTTTTATGTATTTACATATCTAATATCTGAGATTTTATATTTACACAGCATGTCACTGAAGTCATTATTATCACATTAATAAAATCATTATTATTTATTTTTAAAATGTAAAATACATTTTTATATTTATATGTTTATGACAAAAATATTATAAACATAAATATGAATGTTTGGGAAGTAGACATATAAATACATTAGAATTATTTACTATATATGAAAAATTTGTAAATTTCCTATAATAATAATAAAGACAACACATATATTTCAACCCATTGCTCTCCCATTTCTCTATAATTCTATATTTATATCTTTAACCCTAACTTCGACAAAACATATTTGTAGCAAATTTTAAGCAATGCATTAAAAAAAATTTCTTAAATTGGGTATTTACATACCTGCCTTAGGCCCACATAATTCTTATGTATTTACATATCTAAAGCTCAGAAGGGTATAACACTCAAATATTTAACATCATGTCAAAAATATCACTATTATTTACTTTATAAAAGTTAATTATACTTTTTCATATGTAGAAAGTATTATAAATGTAAATACGAAAGCTTAGCAGTTTTATAAGATTTGTGTTTTATGCATGTAAATATCCCATAAAAAAATACTAAAAAGCAAACAAAATAATTGATATAAAGTCCAAAAAGATCGAGTAAAAGATATTACCAACAATGATGAGCTCGAAATGACTCTTGGAAATAGTTTGATTTGTGGTTTGTTCGGGGCAACTACATCTATTTGAAATAAGTTGTTGTGCAACAGCAACAGCTGTGACGAATAAATTGTACTATATAGTTGTGCAACAGTTGTGTGTTAAGACATATGCAAAAGAAGACATTATATTAATTCTATTATTTGAGATATTGAGTGTTAAAGCATATATAAGTTAATTAGCTATTTTAAAAATGTTAAGGCTTAAAATCTTTAATTAACATAATGAGACAGATTTGACTCATTTTTAACAAATTTAATTGCACCTGTGAACTAAGTAAAATGATGAAAGCTTACCAACATGGTAGAAAGTTAATTAAGGAGGATTAATGACGTTCGAATTAACTTTTTTACACTTCATTTGATAATTAGTAATATAGTTAACATAATGAGAACTAAGTAAAATGATGAAAGCTTACCAACATGGTAAAAAGTTAATTAAGGAGGATTAATGACGTTCAAATTAACTTTTTTACACTTCATTTGTTAATTAGTAATATAATTAACATAATGAACATAATTGACTATTTTTAATATATATAATGAAATATATAGCATTAGTTGAAATAACTAGTACATATGTGCTGTCAGCATCTACATGTTCACCCAAAAATGATATTAAACATAATTTTTGCATGTTAGAATATTCACAATAGTAGATATAAAACTCTTTGTCTTAGTTTTTTTATGACTTTCCCACAATTTCGCTCGTTCGAAATTGGCTCATGAACAGTGTGATCTTGTTCAACTTGATTTAAATATTTTTGTTCGTATTCGACATTATATATATAATATAAATAATAATATATATTATTATATAAATAATTATATGATCTTTTTTGTTTCGAGCTAAAATGAGCCGTACACGAGCAAACAAATAGATGTTCGTGTTCGGCTCATTTACTTAACAAACGAGCCGAACATGAACTACTTAATGAACTGAGCACGAGTTGTTCACGAACAACGAGCTTTTTTTGACATTCCTAATGCTAACATTTATAAGATGTTTAGGTGATTAGAAGTTGAGAGATATCAAAATATATTCAATATTTTAATATTTATAATTCTTCATAATGTATACTTGGTTAACTTTATTGCTTAATCAATAATCAATGTTGTTCATGTCATTTTATGTTAATTAGTAAATTAAAAGGCTATATAATTTCAATTAAATTAATTTCCATGAATTTATTAATGCTAAGATTTTTATTTAGTGGCTTAAAATTTATTTAGTTAATTATTTATTAGTAATAGAAAAAATAATTAAACATACAAATAATATGAATAGATAAACTATAATTATTCATAATATAGTAATTAATAAGTATCCATATTTAACTAATGATTAACTCTCATAATCATTTAAAATTTTATTTCTTGCAAATAACAATCAAATAAATTGTGATTATTTAAGAGAACTTTATTATTATTATGTCTTATAATTTTAAGAATTTAAAATTAAATATTTAATAAATCATAATTGAATTTAGGGAAATTTGCATATTTACCACACAATTCCAATGCATTTACATATGTAGCACCTAAAGTTTGATATTTACATTTATACGTATTGATATTATAAATCTATGCATTAAAACAGTCATAATAATGATATTTTTAATGTAATATTTTATGCATATAGATATTAAAATTTAGATGTTAAAATTATGGCACGTACATAAATGCATCTTAAGAACTTACGAGAAGATTTACAAATATACCACACAATCCATATGTATTTACAGATCTACAACTAATTTTCGAAATTTACGTACCTTTTCTTAAGGTGGAAAAATGTATGTAAAATGGGATGATTTACAAATATACCACACAATTCCTATGAAAGAATTTGGTGATAGAAAATTATAAATTTAATAAGTCAAATTTGAGTGATATTTATGATGAGATATGTAAGATTTGAGTGATATAAATGTAAATGATAAAACTTGACTATTAAATATGTAAATACATAGGTGGTATATATGCATATTTCCCGGCATTCGTGCTGCTTACATACTCATTTACTGTTTGATAAAATATATATGTAAATACATAGGTGGTATTTATGTAAAAGATAAAATATATGCATATTGAGCGCTATTTATGTATGTCATATGCACACAGTTCTGCGTGCGTATGACCCAAATTAAACTTCCAATAACTCATATTGAGCGTTATTTACGTATGTCATATGCACGGACCCAAATTAAACTTCCAATAACTCATATTGAGCGCTATTTACGTATGTCATATGCACGCAGTTCTTCGTGCGTATGACCCAAATTAAACTTCCAATAACTCAATTATTGAGGGTTATTAAGAGATTATTGAGGGCATTAACCCAATAATGTTAATAATCTACAAATAAATTAGAAGTATTACCTAAAAGTATTGTACACGAAGTAGGTAAATATTTTTCCATTTGTGGAGCACCTTGAGGCGCGCAGACCCAACGCCACTCTCATGGAATTCCAGTCGTTTTCTTCAGCTCCCTTATCCAACCCTCTCACGTCTCTCGGTTGTTTCTTCTTGCATTTCTTTACGCAAACCCCCAGTTGTTTTATAGAGCTCAGGTGCTCGATCGCCCTGCTTCTCTTCCACCGAGAGTGAGTTCCTTGTAGGTAATTTACAGATTGATATTCTTTCCCGGTCTCATTCCTCTTGGTTACTAGCTATTGTTATGTTTGCTTCTCGGCTTTGAGGTTTTAATCAGTTTGGAGAGTTATGTTTGCCTTACACATATTTGTTGATTTGGGGTTATTGGATTGTATGAAGGAGCTAGTGGAAGGTATATGAACGATGTTGTAATGGGTGTATAGATGTTTTTTGTGAGTGTTGTTTGGGTAAAATTTGAAGTTATTTGGTAGTAGTGAGTATGGCAGTTTTTTTATTGTTGGCGGGTTGCTGCAGCTTTTTGGTTATTTGCCTTTTGAAAATGTAGTATTGGGCAGTGTTGATTAAATATATATTTCTTGGTTTCTGGGACGACAGGATGATCTGATCTAGGGTTTCCTTTTCTATTTTACTTGTTTGGTTTGTTTTGGATTTATAAGCTTGGAAGGATTTTTTTCTTTTTTTTATTAGTTTCTTTACCAATTGGCTGATATCAATCAGGCTTTCGGTTTAGGAACTACTGTTTGATGGCTACAGCTCTGGTTTCTCGGGGCTTAAGCTGCAGCTACTCGGGCACTTCAGAACATGGGCGGACATCAAATGATCTGAGCTTCTCCTGTTCCATTTCCAGTCTGCAACTATTGAAGTGTGATGCACTGTCATCAAAGTTTTCGCGCTCGATAAAGATTTTTAGAAGCGAGGTGCGGAAGCAAGAATCTGATAAGCTTGGCATTAATGGCCGGTCTAACAAAATGGTATCAACGAAGAAATTAGCGGAAATCAAGTCCACTTTCACTGAGAAAATTGGAACAGCCAGTGTCAGCGCTGCTGTGAATGGCTCAAAAGGGGTGGTCAATAATGGTGCTGGCTTGGTTAAAATGAATGGAGTATTAGATATTGCTAAAACACCTAAAAAGAAGGTGGCTGATGATCTCTCCTCTGGGGATGAGCTAAAAGTTTTCGCTTCAGATGAGGGTTTCAGCTGGGCCAATGAAAACTATAATGGTTGGCAAAGGACAATTGACATTTGGTCTTTTGTTATTTCTCTACGCATTCGGGTTCTCTTTGATAATGCAAAATGGGCATATCTTGATGGAATTACAGAAAATAAGCAGGTAAAATTACAAATATATCTTTATATATTATCAGTTCATTCAATTGAATTTGTTGATAGTATCTCTGAACTTCTTTTGGCATATACATTTTCCTGATTCTCAATGAGGTAAACTATGATTTATCATTGAAGCAATAGATCTACTCATCTGTCCCATGCTTAGGATGAAAGGTGTAGGTAACCCAAGGCCTTCACCCTAGAGATCTATATTGGTTGTGTTGAATTAAAAAATTGAACCGAATCAAGTATATTTGGTTGATTTGATTCGGTTTATTAAATCACTGATTGATTTGTGTTTTAGTATTTTAGATTAAAGTTTATTTGCGTTACTATTATTAGTTTAGAATATGAAAGGCTATATGAAAAATTGAATTATGTTTGTCCATTCCGTCAACTAATTCATCTGAACTGACCATATGAATACCCCTTTATTTGGATTTCAAGATTCAGCTGAACCAACACGGAACAGAATAAAATGAATTATTTTATGATTCTTTGGTTATATATATTAGTTAATTGGTTTGGTTTTGCCTGTTATTTTGTTTGTTTTAATCTGTTTAATAAATCTGTTAGCTAATCTAACCGAACCAATCAAATGCCCATTCCTACCTTTCAGTTTTTTTATTATTGATATATTTTAATAAATCTGTTAGCTAATCTAACCGAACCAACCAAATGCCCATTCCTACCTTTCAGTTTTTTTATTATTGATATATTTCTATATACATAATATTTCTAGTTTTGCCCCTGTTACAATTCATTAAATTATTTGCAGTTAATAGCTGGGAGGAAGGATGGTATTGATCTTTTTTTTTGGTTCAAATTTCAAAATGCCAGTAATGCGAAGTTACATATTACGTAGTTTTATGGAACTCTCTAATGAGACATGCAGGCAAATACATTTGGAAAAAGTATGTTTTGATCAAATTAGGTTAAGAAGGAGGGGATTTTGATTTCAAGTTTAGGTTTAAATATTAATTTTGACGAGAATTAGAATGATTGTTTCTTGTTGGATTTCAATTTCCTTGAGTTTTCTTTTCTGCACATGGGTTAACTTGTTCCTTCATGTCTCTTTTGTTTGAAAAAATGAGGAGAGAAAGATATAGACGAATAGATAGATTAATTTAGTTAAAAAGAGAGAGAAAGAGCCTCTTTTAGAAAGGGGGTCGGAGGGAAGGGGGAAGGGGGA